AGGAAGGAAGGAAGGAAGGAAGGAAGGAAGGAAGGAAGGAAGGAAGGAAGGAAATAGTAGACAAATTGCTACAGATTTTGCTATATAACTTTTTAAATAAGAAGCAAGGATCATTTTGAAAGAAAGAAAAATGAACAAGAATCATTTTTGTGCTCCAGAAGTAGACAGATTATGCTGTTGCAGAGTTCTACTTCCTTGAAAAGGATTTGGAAAAGGGTCCTCTTTTTCTTTTGCCAAGAGAAAAAAGGAATAATAACATTCTTCATTCATTGTATTTTATTAATGAAATGTTATAGGAAGGAAGGAGGGAGGGAAGAGAAAGAGAAAGATTTAACAAGGAAAAAGTTCACTGGTTCAAGCAAGTAAAAATGGTTGACATATTGTTTCTTTGTTTGAAGTTTATTTACAGTCCAAGACCAAACTTTAAAATATATCAAATACAGGAGATAAAATACATATTTTTAAAAAAGAAAAGTGTAAGATCAGGCTGAAGCAGTAAGTAATGTGAAGAAAGTATCATATGGCTTTTATAAGCTATAGCTATTGATAAAAAATTTGCAAACTTCTTGGAGATATCTGAAAACTGTTTCAAAGGACATTGGTCACCTCATGGTCATAGAAGGAACCAGGTTTTCTAACAGTAGATAGTATAAGATCTGCATACCACTGTGTATAAAGTATACACAATGTATAAATAATTAATTTTAATAATGCATTATTTTTGTTACTCAAGTGTGATTTTCATAAAGGAGGACGGTATATCTGCCTGTAGTCACCCAAATGGGTAACATATTGATTCCATCCAGGAGGAAAAATCTACTGTGTAGGGCATGTAAAATGTAAAAAAACAAAAACAAAACAAAACAAAAAAGCTAAGGATAATCCAAAAGGAAGGGAAGATTGCACTGAGAAAGATTGGCTCTATCAGATTGGAAGTCATGGTCCCAAATATTCTGCTTTATTTCGCCAGTTTCATCAAAGCAAGAGTGGATGCTGTGTCAATGAAATCAGCATAAAGGGTTCTTTCTGGTGGGTTAGGGTACTTCTCAGCCAAATGATGTTGAATTATACACTGTATAATTATACAATTATAAATTGACAAGTGCTATAAGAGGCTACTAAAGAAGAAGAAACAAAACCTCTTCTAGAGAACTGGACTAAGTTACACCAGGCTGTGATATGCAAATCACCTAGTACTTCTATTTCTAGCAGTATTCAACCATACAAATAGCAGTAGCTTAATTGCCATCGAGATTTGGGATGGTGACTTCCATGGTTTATTTAAAGCACCCCTATATCCTGACCCATGTACTCTGCCAGCAGATGATCCCATTCCTGAATGGCCCCCAGTTTTACCCTGGCAGATCCATAGTTCAACTGAAAAATAGTAAAATCAGAGTAAAGATCTAATCTTACCAGAATTTCTAAAACTAAATTCTGCCTGATGGGCATCTTTTCTAGCCTCACTTTTCACTGCTATAAACAATTCTTTTTGTAAACCAATTAAACTGGCTTACTTCTATCCCCTTCCCAATCCACAAAAAAAGTTGATAAGTCTGATTCTGCTAATTATTAACCAATTAATGACCTACCTATAATTAGCAAACTATAGACTAGATGCCTGTGTTATAAACTACTGGATTGGATGCAATCAAAGAACATTCTGGTTGCTGAGCAGATTGGATTCAGGTCTAAATATTCAACAAAGGGCCAATGTGTAATTTGACATCATTTGGCTGAGAAATACCCTAGCCCACCAAAAAGAACATTTTATGTTGTTTTCATTGACTTAAAGGCAGCCTTTGATTGAATACCACATAGTAGACTTTGGAAGAAACTACCTACCACATTCACTGATTCATGCCTCCTTAAACTATTAAACTATTAAAAGATAATAGCATTGCATCATGGCACAACCACTCAAGTAAAGGGCAACTGCAACGGCGATTTAACCAAACTTATCCATACTCAAAAGGGTGCAAAACAAGAATGTATTCTTGCCCCACTGTTGTATACATGTATATATTAAGGATATAGTTGACATCTTTGCTAAGCCAGAACTTCATTCATTCACGGCCCAATCCCTATTCTCTTATATGATGATGATGTGGCTATTCTAACTGTAACTCATGTGGGTATGTACCTTGTCATTCTATTGCTCCAGGGAACACTTTGAAATTAATTACTCTAAAACAAAGGTTTTAGTATTTTCAAGAAAGTGCTTTGAGTCTCCATTAAGCTGGAAGATCAACCGAAAACTCACTGAGCAGATTAAAACTTTCAGGTATCTACGTGTTCATTTTCAATCTTCCATTTACTGGACCACTCAAGTGAGTGAACCTAATATAAGAGCCCAAAGAGCATCCCTTGTAATGATCAAATATGCAAGTCAACATGGCAACAACTACATCTCAGCAGCAATTAAGTTATTTAAAGCCAAAGTTCCAGGTCTGATGCTATATAGTACCCAGCTGTGCATCTACAAGAACACCTCAAGACTCAAAAGTATCCAATCAACATTTCTAAAATCTATAATGTGTGCCCTCCATTTGACCCGTAATGTTCTCATAAGATTAGAATTAGGCTGCATCTCCTTTGGGGCTCATCTGATTTTGTTGCCTTTGATTCTAGTCCTCAAATCCTTTGCATAATGTTCTTGGTTCACCTTATCCTGTTAGATAGATTCATTTCTTCTTTATGAAGACAAATAAATTATGATTTGGCATATTGTGGCTTTGCTCCTGACATATTGTAAACATTTCATTATAACACTACTAATTTACTGATAATTTACTTCTTTACCTAGACAGAGTTTCGCCTTTGTATTTTCAGTTTTGTGTGCTATTCTCTCATGCAAATTATAAAGTTGTGTAAAATAGCACTGACACAGTTGATGAAAAGTTATTAATCATAAACCCATTTATTTTTCAAGATATTACTTTCTCTTGCAACCCAAATTCCAATGTCCCAAACTGTTTAACATCTTCAAAATGCCAAAACAATACTAGTATTTTAGGGGGGGGGAAATCACTCATAGATGTAATTTATGTAATTTATTATTTCCCTGAAGCAAGTCCCCCAAAATAAATATACACTAATTGCCTTGAGATGAAAAACCAAAATGATTTAGTTAAGGTAATGATGCTATAGGTTTTATTTATTGTCAACCATTTGCTTTGAGGGTAAACTGGCAGCTCATTAAAAATGTGATCCACGATTATATAACACACACTGGTGCTCAAACGTTTGTGAACCCTTTTGAAATTTCAATATTTCTGCATAAATATGACCTAAAATATGATCTGTTCTCCACACAAGTCCTAAAACTAGATAAACAGAACCCAATTAAATAAATGAGTCAAAAACATATTTGTTCCTTTATTCACTGAGGAAAATGATTCAAAGCTACATATTTGTGCATGGGAAAAGTATGTGAACTTCTGGGATTCTCAGTTCATTTGAAGAGA